GGCTGCCCGCTGCCAGCTGCGGCGCGAGGAGGCGGGGAGCTCCCCGCCGATTTTAAAGGGCCGTGGCAGCTCGGCTCTGGCTGCGTGTCCCTGGCAGCTGGCTGTGGCAGGCAGTGGAGCCAGGCCCCACCCTGCCGGCTCCAGTCCTGCCACAGCCCCAGCCCCTCGCCGGTGAGAGACCGCTCCCTGCCGACCGCCTGGCTCGCTGCACCCGCCCCGTGCCCCATCTGGCTTCCACCACCCATTCCCCACGCCGCCCCTGCATCAAGCACTGGCCATTTTTGTCCTTCCCAGCCTGCAAAACATTTGCCTTATGAAAGTTTGAAAAAGTAGTGTTCCGCAACAGCACACTTAGCTGCCATGCAAGACCAGCTCAAATGTTCAAGATGCAGATCATGAAAAGAAATGCTTCCTTGGTCAAACCCACAGTCATACAAGGAAACCAAGACTACTAGTTCATTGTCCTACAGCAAGCCCTTTCTATTCTTTCAGGTTCTTATACACCAACCATTTTTCTAGTATGGGGAGAGGGGTCCTTCCAGCATGGCTGATTCTTGATTTTTTTTTTTTTAATCACCCAGTTGAAATGTTCCATGTTGATGGATGTGCATATGCCATCCTACTGAGGACTCTAACTCTAAAGCATTTTTGCCTGCACTAAAATAATTACGAGTATTTTAACATGAGCACATATGACTTTTCCTTCATAGCCCTACCATTCAGGACCAACACAGGCAGGTAAAGAATGAATCCAGCATTTCTTTAAGATTATGAGAATTCTGGAGGGAAGAGGGGGAATGGGACCAGAACACTGTAACCACGTTCTGCATCTATCTTCTGTCGAATGTAGAACACAAAATGCATGATGGAGGCATCCCTCTGCCTCTGTGCCTCCTGTTCCCTGCGCCACCCCTGTTCCCCCCCCACACACACACTGTTCCCTGCACCCCTCTGGCTCTGTGCTGTCCCTGCACCTTGTTCCCTTTATGGAAAAAAATGAATGAAAATACGATTTGCTATTTGTAGGGCTAAAATGCCAGGACAAAAATGAAAACAAAGAAAAAACCCAACCCCATTGCAAAATGCAAACATGTAAAAGACAACAACAATCGGGGGGATGTTTTGCTTGGCCCTGGGGGAGGGGAAGCAGCTGGGCTGGGCTGTGGGAAGGGGAGGAGAGGGGAAAAATATGGGTAAGGGGCTTGTGCTGAGGGGAGGAGGTCAGGAGAAGAAGAAGAAGAAAGGGAGAGGCACCAAGGGACAGAGGTGCAGGGGCCAAGTGCAGACAAAGAGGAAAAGGGCAGGAGGGGGGACAGGATGATGCTGGGAGAGGGGAGGGGAAGGGCACTGGGGGCTAGAGGGAGGAGTGGGAGGTGCTGGGAGAAGGCTTGAGAGAAGGGGTGGGCATGAGGAAAGTGGGGATGGAGCAAGGCATGTGTGAAGGCACACAGGGGCATGAGGGGAATGGGGGCTGAGGGTGGGTATCAGGGGAAAAGAGGGCAAAGGGGGCAGCGGCAGTGAGGGAAGGAGGAGGCCCCAGGAGGGTGCGGGGCTAAGGGAAGGGGCAGGTGCCAGAGGGTTCTGGGGGTGAAGCAGAAGGGCAGACACCTGCAGGGGAGGGACCAGCACCAGAGGAGAGGCAGCGCAGGTGTGTAGAGGGAGGAGTTAGGAGAGGGGATGAGGCGGGGTAGCTCACTTGATCAGAGTGGGGCCACAGGATATTTATTAATAACTTGGGTGATATTTATTAAGAGCGTATTAGTAATTACTGTTCTTATTCTTATTAGCAATTTATGCCATTAAAAAAACTCTTATGGGGGGGAGGGGGAGAGGCCCTTTTTTGTCTGGCGAGTAGGGTTTTCCATAATTTGTCGAGCCCTGTTTATCAGTATTCAATTTCATTTGCCATTTTGTTGCCCAGTCAATATATTAGGGTATGTCTACACTAGCCCCCTAGTTCAAACAAGGGTGGCTAAGGTAGGCTTTCGAACTTGCAAATGAAGCCCAGGATTTAAGTGCCACGGGACTTCTCGCTGTGTGCCCCTGGATGTCAGACAGCACTGGGAAGAGCAAGATGGACTCTTCCTCACACAGTGACTTTGTGCCTGTGAGGTCGCACTGTGCAGGTCCCAATGGGGTCCTCTGTACTCTGAGGACAGGGCCGGCCCAGAACATTTTGGTACCTGAGGCGGGGAGCTCAAATGACGCCCCCTGCCCCTTCGCTTGGGCCAAAACTTTGAAAGGTCTCAATTCTCTGGGTCCTAGTGGCATCCTCCCACAGCCGGGCACCTGAGGCGACCACCTTAATTCACCTCCTGGTAAGGCTGGCTCTGCCTGACGATTAACACAGCCTCATCTGCGGGTGGCACAGGCCACAGTTTGGGAAATGCTGCCCTGACAGTGTCTCAAGTTGGACCCCTTCCAGTCAACCTTCCCCCCAAGACACAGTCATGGTCTCTGGCTTATCCTTGAGGTTCTCAGTGGTCTGGGCCCAGCATGTCTACAAGGACCGAACTCCGGGGGTACAGAGCCAACTCACACGCTCCTCAGCCTCAATGGAACTTTCTACCTGAGCGTAAAGCTCCTTCATGCAGCAGATAGACCCTTCCCGGGGGCCAGCCCCAGCCTGTACAGCAAACCCCATGAGAACTAAGAGCCACCTCCACACGACCCAACATTCTGCTCTGAGCGTCAGGTGCCCTTCTTCATCCAGCCTTCTGTGGCATGAGCACTGGGCTGCATGGACATTGGAGCCCCCAGACCCTGTCCAAACAAGCCCTCCACGCACCGTTGTGCCAAAGAGCTCTGTGCACACTGGGAAGCTCCTCTCTTCTCTCGCCGGGTGTTGGGTTCCTGTCTGGCTACAACCGCAGACCATGCTGCACCCCACAAGCAGCCGGCAGCAGGTTCCCAGCTAGTGCGCAGAACAGGGGCAGCGCGCAGAGCTCTGGGCATTCTCCTCACCTCTCCCACCCCAGCCTAGGAGCTGGGCCTGCCTCCGGCAGGTGCCAGGAGAGGCAGGGATCTGGCTTAGCCCCTCCACGGGTCACCTGCCCCCCTGCAGCAAGGAGCCCCAGTGCC